TGAAGATCCACCGGACAAAATCCACACACGACTCCATCTCGAAAAAGGCCTAGCAGATGAATCTAGCACGCCACCCCCTTTGGTGGAAGCCGCCCCTTCTCAGGTAAAGATGGCCAGCACCACCTCGGGCAGCCTCCAGCTCAACATCGCGCTCCAAATTCATGAAAGAATCTGTAAGTCCTCCCCCTCGCTTACCCTCTTTCTCACTTAGGAACCGTCGCGGCATACAAGCACTCTCGGTGAGGAGGAAGGAGGAGAGACAATAGTTGGAGAACAGGCAAAGGACTGCGATGGGGAGCCCTCTCCCTCTCCCTATTTAAGGAGAAAATGCAATAGCTGAAGAGGGGCAAAAGATCAGAGCGAAAAACTCTCTCCCTTCCCCTATTCAATGCGGATGGGGAACGATGGGACGCACCCTGACCGATGGGACGCACACTGACCGACGAAACAACGCCTGGTCAGACGTAACGCCGCCTGGTAAGACAGGACATGGCCTAGGTATGGCCCACCACTACCGCACGTCGGGCGTGAAAACCAAAGCGTCACCATGAGTAGGCGGCTCTCTGCCTTCCCAGGCGGGACTTGGAAAAACCCAAACGATGAGATCTCCACCAGGAGAAACAGTCAGGCTACCTAAGTCGATCGAGTGGGTCAGGAAAAACACCGAGAGACAGGTAAGGAGCGAAGGGACGCCCCATATAGGCCATGCCAACTCCGTCATGAATGACGAGCATGGGTGTCGGTCGGACATTTCTGATTGGAGCTCTTCAAACCCCGTCACTCGAGTCATCAAGGTAACACTACTAACCCCCGCTATTTCTTTATAATCATTTCATACATCCATACATGCATTCATTCCATACGCCTGTGCCCCCTGGACGATTTAGGCCCTGAACCGCCCGGGGGCTCAGGAACTAAAGCATCGCACATGCAGCGAAATGCATCACAACGCTCCGTGTTGCGTCACGAAGCGGCAGTTGCCTCATTCAACATGAGCAACAACCGACCAGGGTTCAAAGGCTGGCCCGTGAGGGGCTCTAGGCCGCGCCATGTCAAACAGAGCTAGGGGAGAAAACGTAGATGAGCCCCGTACGACCCTCGCCCGGTCTGCCCCAAAGCAGATAGGATCATCTCAACCTTCTTGTTCGATCCTAAACCTCTTGCCAAGCCCACAGAATCTCCATCGAGGGGAGGCTAGTAGGCCACCTGGGTCGATCTCTGGAACGATCCAGGCATCTGCCGGGTTGTAGGTAAAGGCACAGTGGAATGTCTCAAGAGGGCTATGCCGACCCCGTCAGGAACGACGGACCGGATTCCACTCGATCATACCCGTTAGTGAACTCACTGAGCACGTCACTCGAGCCCAAGCGATCAAAGCAAGCGACAAAACTCAGCCCCTTTGGTTGTGAGAAATCGAGGATGGGGTAACGCACACAACTCAAACCGACCCCTACCAAAGCCCAACGGGGCTCGAGGGCTCAAGACACTCAAAACACCTAGGTCTGTGACCCCGAACTCACCCCATCCATCGGCTATGCTTCGACTACACACTAAAACGCCTGGGTCTACGACCCCGAACTCGCCCCATCCACCGGCTACGCTTCGACTGCACACCAAAACGTCTAGGTCTGCAACCCCGAACTCAGCCCATCCATCGGCTACAATTCGACTGCACACCAAAACGCCTGGGTCTACGACCTAGAACTCGCCCCATCCCTCGGCTATGCTTCGACTGCACACCAAACGTCTGGGTCTGCGACCCCGAACTCGCCCCATCAGGATCCGCGAACTCCAACTAGCCCAATCCCTAAACTAACTAACTAACTAACTAACTACCTCGGCTGTGCGGGCTGCACCAAGGCCAGGATCCATGACTCCGACTCACCCGATCCCTAGGCACGCACCGATGCCAGGACCCGCGAGCTCCGTCTCGTTCGATCCCTAAACTAACTACCTCGCCCGATCCCACGGCGTGCACCGACGCCGGGATCCACGAGCTCCACATCGCCCGATCCCACAACTAAACGCCTCGGCTGCGCAACGACGCCTTGGTTAAATGACTCCATCTCGACTAAAAACACGCACACACGCCCACTGAAAACCCCCCAGACGATTCTGCCTGAATCACCCGAGGGCTTGGGGGCTACACCCGCGGGTGCGCTCGCACGCACCCGCCGACGAAATGAAAACGTCCCCCGCTGTCAACACGAAAAACCCCCCGGACGATTCTGCCCGAATCACCCGGGGGCTCGGGGGCTATACTCACGGGTGCGCTCGCGTGCACCCGCCGTCAAGACAAAAAATCCCCTAGACGATTCTACACGAATCACTCGGAGGCTCGAGGGCTCCTGTTGGGTTCATAAACCCGGGGTCCCTCGCAGACTGGCTTTCGAACAAAGGCTCGGTCCAGCAGGCAACGTTGCAAACAACGCGCAACTCATGGACTAGCCCAAGTACCTAAACAATAGGACAGAAGGGCGATCCAATCACCGACCGGAAGGCCTGGCCGAGGAGGAACGACGCCCGTTTACTGACTTCGGCCCACCTCTCCGACTGGAGCGCTCGCTTCGGTCTCTAGCTCGCCTCCGGATGGCCTCTCCAACCGGAAGGCCTGGCCAAAGCACTACTTTCGACTCCGACCCCACGTCTCCGACCGGGGATGCGCCAAGCCCTGCTCACTACTCTTCTCCGACTGGCGCGGTCAGAGCCGACTAGGACTAACCGACCGGGGACGCCCGCTCGGTAAGGACCAGGAAACGGACGGAGAAAGTAAGGCAGGGCGCACAAGTCAAACCGCAATACCAGGGTCCGTATCCTGTACACCTATGGAAATAGTACTCTGCGGCCTCCCTAGCACGTCAGAACCCAAGCAGTGTTGTAGGCGCCGATATTTTCCCCTACAGTATTATGGGCGCCATTAACTCCCATACGGTAAGGCTCCCCCATGTGCCTCTGGGCATCGACAGTGTTGTGGGCGCCGACATTCACCGTACCAGGCGAACATAGCAAAACCCCTTGCATGCCTCCAGGTATCAACAGTGTGGCGGACGCCAACGTCTGCCATACCAGAAGAGGACAATATAACCTTCCACGTGCATCTGACATCCAATAGTGTTGTGGGTGCCTACCATCATCCTGTACCCGCTGGCGTGGGCAACAAGGCTTAGAAGCATACGTACTCTCTCCCTCTCACTTGTAAGGCCATCTCCATCATCTATAAAAGGGGATGCGCTCTCTCCCAATATTGAGGTCAATTAATCTTGGTCAGATTCATCAGATGGATCAAGTTCATTAGTTCACAACCACGGAACCGCCAGGTTCGAACCTCAAGCACACGCTTGAACACTTAGCTCGTAGCGGGGCTCCCGTCACTCCCGGCCCTTCCGACCGGACCTCTTGTATCCCCCATTTTTCTCCTTCTCGTTTGTAACCCCACTGCAAACTTCGAGCACCTGGCCTCAGGAATAAAGTCACCGACCGACTCAAACTGGACGTAGGGCACGTTGCCTGAACCAGTATAAACCCTGTGTCATTGAGTGTTGGGCCACCTCCGATCACAACGTACGGCAAAATTACAAATATTTACTTGTTGGTCACTTTCTGCACCGACAGAGACTGTGTTGATGGAGGGCAAATCGTCATCGAGTTCGTCGAAACTGGTCGGCAACTCACGGACGTCCTCACCAATCCGTTCGGCCGTCTTCGGTTCACGGAGTTGAAGAAGATGATCGGCATGGTGGAGGTTCTAGGTTTAGCAATAGGATTAGTGGAAGAATTGTTAAGTAATCTGTTGCTCCCCTGTATGAACGCACGGCAGGGATAGGCGTCGAAAGGCTCCCTGCTGTTGCACTGTAGCTGCTGCAGGGGCAGGCGCCAAAAGGCTCCCCTGCCGCACTGTAGCCACAGCAGGGACAGGCGTCAAAGTCAGTCCTGCTGTCACATCTAGTCACTGTAACACCATGGTAGCCGGACATGTCTGTGCACTAAGATTATATGGGTAGAGTTATATATATAGCTTCCCACTGCAACTCAGTAAATAGAGCGAGTTCAGTTTTGTCATTTTCTCTGCAGAGCTCCGACCAACGCTGGTGCTTGTGTTGTGTGTGTGCGCTCTGTTCTCCATCCCTTCTTCTATCTTTAGCCATAGTGTGTGGTCGACAATGCTGGTGAGTGGTCGGCTCACCTGTGCCGGAGATTCAGGGGGCCAACAAAAACGATGCGTTTGTTTTCATTTAATCCCTCTACAGGTGGGGCGGGGAAGTACTGTAGTGTAGGGAAGCAGGAGCCTCATCCTTGGACTCTTGGAGGAGATGAGTTGTGACATTGAGAACGTACGTCTGGGCTTTGATAAAGACGAAGGAACACGGCTGTTTAACTTTTAAAACGTCAATCGTGGCAGATTCTGACCGACAGAGAAATCCTACGGTGTTGGGTTTGCTCGTGGAAAAAACTAGTGCTAGCTAGCTGAGGGCAGTTTTTTTTCCTTAAGGGTATATGCCCCTGCACACACCCAATCTACCACCTCAATGGCTTTGTTCGCTTCTCTTATATTTCGTATTTTTCAGCTTGTTTTTTAACTGAAACAGTATTTTTCTCTCACAACATATCAGTCGGAACAATGTTTCGGCTTATTTTTTTAGCGAAACAAACGGGCCAAAATGCCACTACTTCGCCTTCATCCTGTATGGCTTGGAAGCATGCTGACTCCAACACTCCTCCCTGTCAGCAACAGCCATGGTGCACCAAGCGTCAAGCGATTGTGCTGTCAGCAACAGCCGCTTCCCCGCTGCCTGCCTGCGTGCTTGCTCTCTAGTCGTCTCCCCTCTCGTAACACGAAAACGACGAGGGAAGCTTCCTTAGCGACTAATCCAGCGCCAAATCCTCCGTTAAATTAAGTTTGATACTAATCTCATTCTCATGCTCGCCGACTCCGTCCATTACTCCCTCCCCTCTCGTCGTCGTTGGCTCTAGTCGTCACTCCTGGCTGTTAGCTTAGCCACATGGCCCGCGCCTGCGCCACCGTCGTCCTCGCCCTCGCGGTCTGCTGCCTCCTCGTGGCCACCGCGCCGGCGCGCCGCCCCGTGGACCTTCCGGCATCACGGGCGGCCGATGCCGTCGTCCTCGTCGACCGCGAGGCGGCTGCCGAGCCCCTGCCCAGGCCGGTGGGGGCTGCCGCGCTTGCTGTGCCCGAGAGAGGAGGGCGACGCCGCCCGCGTGGAGGCGACCAGTGCTAGCGCGTCAGCGTTAGAGGTGCGGCCCAGCTCCAAGGAGACGACGACCGCGGAGGAGGAGGGGTGGGGCTGGCCGGCCGTGTCGGGGAAGTCGGAGGACGACGAGAGGCGGCCGTACGATTCCGATTCCGACTCTGACTGCGACTCGGACTCCGACGACGAGGACGAAGGAGGCATCTTCCGGTGGCTCCGGAGGCTGGCGGATCACCTCTTCTGAACTCCGAATTATGATCGATCCTCACCTGCCGCCGGTAGACATATTCTGATGCTTCGATCCTTGTCTGGCGCAGATCATATATATGTAGCAGCAACACCTCTTTGTACAAAATTATATTGATGAAATAAATGATACACCTGTGTTGTTGTATGAACGGATCAAACATTCAAACTGCTGTAGAACCTGGTAGTAACTGTCAGCGGCCGTAGAACGTTACACACCATACTTCCAAGAAGCAGGGCACGCCTGAAATATCTAATGACAAGCATGCTCGACAATGCAAAAGTGTGTTAAATCAAGTTGATAATAGGTTCTGCCTCTCATCCTATCCTACAGCTTTATAAAAAGTCAGAGATATTACAAAGACAACATTTGATTTCAAAGAAAACGCATCTGCCAATACAGATGAGACTGCAGAAACCTGCCCAAGCAGTTCTACTTCTTCTTCTCCTCCTCTTCCTACTTCTCTTCCTCCTCCTCGATTGCATACTCGTCGTCGTCCGAGTCGTCGTCGTCCCAGCGGTCATCATCGGAGTCAATTTCGATATCATAGTCATCCTTCGTATGAGCCTGGCTGAAACCGCTCAGCTCGTTCCTCCCGTCATCCTCGTTGATGAACTCCAGTCCGTATACCGCGTCTCTGTGCTTCACGACCAGCCAGTGAAGCAGCCTGTCCTCCTTGTCCAGATAGTGGAGTTCTTGCAGGAACGAAGGTGGAACCATCATGGTAATTTGCATAAGCTGGCCCTGTAAATGGAATGGGGAAGCAATCTTTAAGACAACTACACATGAGCAGGTTCTCAAGCTATACACAAGAGCAGGTCAAAAAGAGAATTATGTGAAGATATATCACTTCTCGTCGTCCAGGCAATAGGTTCAAACAAACCTTGGCAATGGGTCAAGCTTCACAGCTAGCAGACAACTGAAAACATACATTGTGCCCCTATCAGCTGCTTTAGCCATTCTACTTCATCCGCTCTACTGCTCAGCAGATCCTTAGAAGAGAAATTGATAAATCACGCCATGCAGGTAAAGCCACAGCAAGGGTCTAAAGTTGACCTTATAGCAGCTAAATCATTTTTTGGATAGTAAATCATCTCATCACAAAGTATTTTCATTAATTATGATGAAGTATAAGCACTAATAAATTCTATTTACATGTCAACTCTGCTTAATTTAGCACCGATGATTCTTAGAAGCATTTTGGTTACATATTTGTTTTGTTTTTTTTTTTTAATGCTCCTAGGCAACCCAGTTACAAATTGAGCATCCTTTGCCGAGTCCGAAAACACTCAGGCCTTACATTCTCTAAAGTTATAACAGCGTAATTTTCCTTTCTAATCTGAACTAGCTAACCAATTCCAGCCTTACTATCATATATATTGTGTTTAACAAGAATGGCTCAATCGTGGCAGTTAAGGTGACCAAGAGGACAACCGAGGATTGCATTATACAAATCTGACAGGGACCAAGAACAAAATCAGAATACTGACACCCAAGACCCAACAATGGCTTTTTATACTGAAACTCATCACAGTTGCATACAAGCTACAAGCTTGAGTTACAGCCACCACATCTGGTGTCTAGAGCTTGATGGAGCACAGCACCTTTTTTTGTCTAATTTTCGCAAGACACTGTAAGGTAATCTCAACTACTGATCACACAATAAATGCCTAAACTCCACGTTTTAAAACATGAAACTCTATGGCCTGTTTGCATGGCAGTGTAGAAAAGCTGCCTGCACCAGGCATCGCTCCTGCCTGGCACGCGTTCCTAGGCCAAGGCTGCATCCAAACACACCATAATAGCGCTATGGCACTGTTTGTATTAGCTTGCAGACTGTGGACCGCAGCTTGCAGGTTGCAAGCTGAAACAAACAGGTTCCAGATTGTAACAATCCGCGTGCTGTTACAATCAAACAATGTGCTCCCCCTAGTATGCGGTTTGTAAAAATCTGCAAAGGTGCAATACACAATCCGCAAGCTAAAACAAGCAGGGTTGTCAAAACTAAAATAATAGTGCTTATTACAAACAGTCAGCTGATCTTGGAATGTTGAAAGGAACCTACATACAGTATATTCTATAACCGATAAACAAAATCCCGTCACAAATTGTGGAGCAGTACTTAAAACTTGACCACAATGTTGATCTGAGTTAGAAAAATGTTGTAGCAAAGCAATAGTCACTATAAAAATCTCATAGCACAAAGTGTAAAAGGATACCACAACTGAAAGAGAAGAGTGTAAAGAAAATTACCCGGCAGGACACTAGTTCAAGGTCTGTTTGGATGAATTAGGACTAGTTACTTGTTGGGCAAAAAATTAGCTCAAATTAGCTGAGGTTGACTAGCTATAACAACTCGTCGACGACTTGGCTAGCCCACCTATTAGTCCTTTTGTTTGGATGGGCTAGAGCTAATTCTGACTAATTTTTAGCTACCTAGCAATTAGCTCTTATATCAAATAGGCCCTAATTGTGACCGGTATCTGATATAATCTTTGTTAAAAAAAAACTTTGTCGAATTACTCTGCAGGACACTAGTTAAATGTGACTAGTATGCAGAATGATGGTGGACAATCAGCCCGCCATCGCCCTCGTCCTCGCAAAGAATCCGGTTCCCCACGACCGGAGCAAGCACATCGACATCAAGTTCCACTTCCTCAGGGACTGTCGGGTTCATAAACCCGGGGCCCCTCGCGGACCGGCTTCCGAACAAAGGCTCGGTCCAGCAGGCAATGTTGCAAACAATGCGCAACTCATGGGCCGGCCCAAGTACCTAAACAACAAGCCAGAAGGGCGATCCAATCACCGACCGGAAGGCCTGGCCGAGAAGGAACGACACCCGTTTACCGACTTCGGCCCACCTCTCCGACTGGAGCGCTCGCTTCGGTCTCCAGCCCGCCTCCGGACGGCCTCGCCGACCGGAAGGCCTAGCCAAAGCACTACTTCTAACTCCGACCCCACGTCTCCGATCGGGGATGCGCCAAGCCCTGCTCACTACTCTTCTCCGACTGGCGCGGTCAGAGCCGACTGGGACTAACCGACCGGGGACGCCCACTCGATAAGGACCAGAAAACAGACGGAGAAAGTAAGGCATGGCGCACAAGTCAAACCGCAATATCGGGGTCCGTACCCTGTACACGTACGGAAACAGTACTCTGCGACCTCCCTGTCACGTCAAAACCCAAGCAGTGTTGTAGGCGCCGACATTTTCTCCTACAGTATTGTGGGCGCCATTAACTCCCATACGGTAAGGCTCCCCTCATGTGCCTCTGGGCATCGACAGTGTTATGGGCGCCGGTATTCACCGTATCAGGCGAACATGGTAAAACCCCTTGCATGCCTTCAGGTATCAACAGTGTGGCAAGCGCCGACGTCTGCCATACCCGAAGAGGACAATACAACCTCCCACGTGCATCTGACATCCAATAGTGTTGTGGGCACCTACCATCATCCTGTACCCGCCGGCGTGGGCAATAAGGCTTAGAAGCATGCGTACTCTCTCCCTCTGACTTGTAAGGCCATCCCCTTCATCTATAAAAGGAGATGCGCTCTCTCCCAACATTGAGGTCAATTAAGCTTGGTCAGATTCATCAAATCGATCAAGTTCATTAGTTCACAACCACGAAACCGCCAGGTTTGAACCTCAAGCACACGCTTGAACACTTAGCTCGTAGCGGGGCTCCCGTCACTCTCGGCCCTTCCGACCGGAGTCCGACCGGACCTCTTGTACCCCCCATCTTTCTCCTTCTCGTTTGTAACCCCACTGCAAACTTCGAGCACCTGGGCTCAGCAATAAAGTCACCGACCGACTCAAACTGGACATAGGGCACGTTGCCTGAACCAGTATAAACCCTATGTCATTGAGTACTAGGCCACCTCCGATCACAACGTACGGCAAAACTACAAATATTTACTTATTGGTCACTTTCTACACCAACAGTTGGCGCCGTCCGTGGGGAAGACGTTGTACGTTCAACACTTTTTGGTCATCGGATGGCCCACTTTTCCGCCACCTTCGCCATGGTGGGCTCAAGCGATATGACTCGCTTCGGCTCTCTAGAGTTTCCCGTACTCCCACTGGTTGGGATGTGGGTTCCACCCGTCTTCGAGCCGTCCCAGGCCTTCCTCTTCGGAAGCCTAGACTTCATCGCTGATCGGCTCGGCGTACTACACCTCTGTCGACACGGAATTTTCATCCCATGCCGAGGACACACGCAGCAAGCTAGAAGGATCTACTCGATGGAGCTGTAGATCCACCTAGCTTCAGCGTAGGGATGGTTGATCTTGCGCGCTCCTCTCGAGACGTGCCAGTCAATTTGACCCTATAATTGACAAGAAGAGAAAGTTCATCAGTAATTAAGGGCGAAACTTGTCGGTGTTGCCAGACAATCCCGAATGTGCGGCTCTAAGAGCCGATATGAGAGGAGATCAACTAAACAGCCGATTCCAGCATATTCATGAGAACAAATCGGTTAAAGCTCATTGGGTTGTATAAGAAGAATCGGTTATCATTCAAGATAAATGTTGTTATTTGAGCAGATATTAATCAATGGTAATAAGATGTCAACAATGATTGGTTTATGCTGAGCCAATGATTACGAGCAACCGAACTCCTTTTATATAAAGAAACAATTCAACATCACTTAACTGTTTAATAAAGATAAATCTAATGAACATGTTAGATCTCATCTATCGCTATGGCCAGTGGCATGAGGCAGAATTATGCAGGCCGTAGAAATAACAATAGACTCGACGACCCTAACTTATTACTAATATCAGTGGG